CTTCCCCCCCCCCACCACCACCGAAGGAAGCCTCAGCCCCTCAAAAACTCCCTCACACATTTCAATACTGGGCTCAAGCCCTCATTCACCTCACACATTTTAATCACCTCCATCCCTGCCTCACCCACAAATCCCCAGCCCTCACTTGCCCTCACCTCAGCCCCATTCCTACTTCATCCCCTGAATCCCTGCCTCACTATCCCCCTTGCCTCCTATTAATCCCCTAGCCCTCTGTCTCACTGTGACACGTTTGGCTCCACTCTCTTGCCGACTAGTAACCCAGTCACCCATTTTTGCCCCAGTCCCCTTCTGGGCACTACATATCAGTTGGCCCCACCCTTATCCTTGCATCTCTATTTCCCAAGCTCCTGTCACTCCTTCCCCAGCCAAGAATCAACACTCACCACTGTTCACAAGACAGCACATGATCGCCAGAATCCACAGGAAAAGCAGAAACAGGCCCAAGTGCTTCTGGGCCCACATACTATGCAGACACTGACGCACTGCAGCCCGGAAGCCAAACTGAGGGCCGGCCACCATGTTGGTCTCCTGGCCAAAACTCCCAGCTCCCTCATACATCATAATGGCAGGATTCTCGCCTCTGTACCAGCTATCATCAACTGCCATCTTCAAACGTGCTCCACGGAGAGCCTGGTTCTTGGATCTAGTTTTCCCATGCCTTGGATTGAAACTCAAAGGCATGGTTCCGAACTCTGACCTGCCAGAAGCAGTGTTGACTGCTTTTGGTCCTTCCAGAACCTCGCCACTTAACCTCTCGTGGGACTTGAAACGCTCATGGAACTTGGAGATCTCGTGACAGTTGCTACAGTAGCAAGTCTCGCGAGATCGGAGGCTCATTCCTTTCTGGTGTTTTGTGTAGCCTTCCACAGACCTACTCATTTAAAATCCGTGGATGGATGGTGTTTTAAACACTCCTACTCTACCTATACACATTATACATGTATATAAATGTTTGTTAAATAAGTGAAGGATTTTTAAAAAAAAAATTTTTAATTAGAAACAAGATTGAATTACATGACAATCCCAGTTCCCTTCTCCCTCCCGTCCTCCCCTGCCCCCCCAACTAAAACCCTACCTATCGCATATCCTTTCTTGGAATCTATACCTGACTCAAGCTTTCTGCTCCCTCATGACCTCTGCATCAGTCAAGGATTTTTGTAGCATGTATTCCAGTAGCATTGCTGCTTATTGTATATCATAAATAAATAACTGAAATTCAGATTTCCAGTCAGGATTCTACTTTCTCTCAACTTTCCTAGTTGTACTGCAGTTGTTACAGTTACTATAATTAGTCACCTGTAGTGGCCATTAACCAAAAGTTGATCATTAAACATAAATTTTAATTATTTAAAATTCAATGACACTAAGGAATCAGTTTCTCAGTTACCACACCTCGGTGTCTAGACTCAGTCTGGCAGATAGTCAACAAACAATCATACAGTAGGACCTTATAAGTGGGAAAAAGTGGTATTTTCCTTCCAGTGATCCTAAAGTTTAGTTACAAATAGGCAAAATGACATAAGCAAAAATAATGAGAAATATTGCATAGTGCTTAAGAACACTTGTAATTTACTACCATCATTGCCATCTATGAACTTGACATCCTTCCTTTTACTGGATCTGAATGTGTCATTTGTAAAATGGTGTGTTTTACATAGTCTATACTGCTTTTTCTCAATCTACTATCTAACCCATGGGCAAATGCCATTAACTCTTTTGCTTTCAGTCAAAGAACCATTTAGGTTATACTATCATTGGTATTACCTTAACACATTTGTGTTTATAAGGGATGTGAAAAATAATCCCCTCCATCATGTTTCCATTTTATCCTTATGGTATATATTCACTTTCTACTCATTTTCTTCTATCGTTCATTGAAAAATTAGAAGACTGCATTAAAGGAGAACAATGGAAAGTTTTCCTATTCAAATAATTGAAATATATCACACATTCCTCCCTATCCCAATGCCTGGGAATATTTTACAATGATCCTTACTTTAATTACAGGATCTGACAACATCATAACCTGCTTTCCATTTCTTTTATTCTTATTTTACTGTTTTCTTTGGCCTCAGAATCTCTAACACTAACTTAAACAGAACACAACTACCCCCAAATACTTACTAACAACTTCTGAAAGCACTGCTTGCAACTTGGAGGAGCCATGAAGTATCTGAGATTTTGCTCCCCACTTTCAAATAGCAGGGTAGCTGAAGTTTCACAGATGCCATCATAAGATGCAAGACTATTGAATAGGTGACAAAGAGCAAAAAGTTCTCATAAGTGCAGAGATTCAACAGACTCATGAAAAACTGCCTCCCAACAGCAACCTTATTCATGTTATAGTACATATGAAAAATAAAACTAGATATATGAGCCGGTACCACAAAACTACTCTGATGGCTCAAAAGATCAAGCTAGAGGGTGGTGGGAACTCAATTCTAATTATCTGACAGGTTGAGCTCTCTTAGACTTGGCTTCCCCCCTGTACCAATTATGGACTGTCAACGGCCTGACTGTGAAGATACATACCACTTCTGGAATCCTATGACTCATTAAACACAGCTTTTGAGGGATTTTGTAAACAGGTAAGGCCTAATAGTTCTTATGCAATGTATATATTCCCAAGCAATCTACACCATACTACTAAAAACCCAGATTTGATCATTTCCAAGAATGCACAATACTAATGTAAGATTAGTGCCACAAAAAATTAATGCAGTATTTGTCCATTTTCAAGTTCCATAACAAAATACTTTATACTGTAAAATTATAATGAAAAGATGCTTGCTTGTTTTAGTCACATTCAAGAGCATGGCAGCAACATCAGTGCAGCATCTAGTAACTGTGCTTATCCTGCACCATAGCACAAACAGGCAACATCACAGCTTGAAGGAAAGCAAAATGATAAATCTTCTTATATAGTTATGAATGCAATCATAATCCAAACTTTTCCAAAAGTTCCACCCCCAAATTCCATTAGTATATAACTTCTGGGATTATGCCTTTAACATGAAATATGGGAAGCATATTTGCACTGTTTTAGCCAGTGTCCTAGTACAGTGAAGCGACGCCATGACCATGGCAACTCTTACAAAGGAAAACAGTTAATTGTGGCTTGCTTACAGTTCAGAGGGTTAGTCCATTATCAACAGTTCCACACCTACTCCAACAAGCCACAGTTCTAAAACACTCTCTTGTTACAAAACATTCAAATATATGAGCCTGTGGGGGCCATTCTTATTCTTATGCAAACTGCTAAAGTCAACTGCAGGATGAACCTCAGAAATCATAAATGAAATCTTTCCTTCTTTAAGTTGATTTTCTCCAGTCACAGTGATGGAAAGCTGGCCAACACAATGGTGTAGGAAAGCCAGTGAATAATTTTTAATTTATATCAGATAATTTATAAAATGAATGGTTTGTGTGGTGTTTTGAGTAAGAATGTCCCCCACAGGTTCATATATTTGAATGTTTGGTCACAAAGGAGTGTTACTATTAAGAAGAGTGGCTTTGAGGGAGTATCTGTGACTGTATTCAAGGAAATGTGTCACTAGGGTGGGCTTTGAGGTCTCAGACACTCAAGCTAGGCCCAGTGTCTCACTCTCTTCCCAATGTCTGCCAATCCAGATGTAGAATTCTCAGCTATTTCTCCAGCACCATGTCTGCCTGTGTGCCACCAGGCTTCCTGCCATGCTGATAATGGACTAAATCTCTGAACTGTAAACAACTCCCCAATTGAATGCTTTCTTATAAGAGTTGCCTCAGTCATGGTGTCTCTTCTCAGCAATAGAAAAGTGACTATGACAATGGCTTGTGTTCAGGAATTTATAATGACAGAGAGCATGTGGTTGAGCAAAATTGCTTACTTTATAGAAGCCAGGAAGCAGAGAAAGTGAAAAAAGGGTCCAAGTACAGATTTCACCCATCCAAACCACATCCCCAATGACCTACTTCTCCAACTGGGCCCTACCCCCTAAATTTTGTACCATCTTCCAGTATTGTCATCTCATTATGAGTCCATCAATCAATTACTCAGTCCATGGCATCAGTTCCTTCATGATTATCTTGGGCCAACTTCTTCTGGGTGAAATAGTAACAGAAGCTCAGAGGAACCAATGAGACTCTGTGTTACTTACTGGAATTCTATCAGGGAATGTGAATTTTTTTGATAGAGACAATTTTGTGTAAGATATATTAGCAATGTTTAAGTTATTAAATAAGTCTATAAGTGGTACAGTTCAGAGAGTTGCAGAAAGTAGGAAGATAAATCCAAACTACAGTAAAAATATATTCAGGAAAATTGGACTCCAATTAGTAAGAAAGAAATCGTGCCTGGTACTGTACAAGTAGCCATCTACACATGGAAAGTGAGGCTATGGATCTTGGAGGCTAATGTACTACTGTCACATCAGTAAGCCAGTATAATTCCTAACTTAGTTCTAAATGCATATCCTTACACCCAGAGGTAACTGTAGCCCACACCAGGCATCAATGGAGCTTCTTTTTGCAGCAGCAGCAGCAGCAGCAGCAGCAGCAGCAGCAGCAGCAGCAGCAGCAGCAGCAGCAGCAGCAGCAGCAGCAGCAGCAGCAGCAGCAGCAGCAGCAGCAGCAGCAGCAGCAGCAGCAGCAGCAGCAGCAGCAGCAGCAGCAGCAGCAGCAGCAGCAGCAGCAGCAGCAGCAGCAGCAGCAGCAGCAGCAGCAGCAACAGCAGCAACAAATTACAGAAAGCTACAACTAGTCAAAATACAGAGAACTGACCATGGCATGCCCAGCCCCAATTGGTAGATCTACAATGTACACCCAAAACGAAGGCAACATCATAGAATCCAAAATCAAACAAATAAACAACAAGAAGAATGGTTTCAGAAAACTCTTAAAGATATGCCAAAGGTATTACACATTGTTAGAAGTGAAACTTTGAGGCTGTCACTTCTGAAATTTGATAGTTTTGAATTTGTTTGAGGATCTACTTAAAAAGAGACTTGTTTATAATGGTTTGCCTCCATTCCCACTGTGATTAACTTGACAAGTACCTAAGAGACATTTCTAGTACCCGAGGACATGTCTAGAAAAAAGTTATCTAAGGGGGAAGGACTCATCCTGAAAGAAGACAGCTTCTGTGATGTGAGCTGCTAAACCCACTTTACATGATGAACCAAATACTCGGAAATCAGAGCTGAACTAAACAGTTCCTCTTTCAAATTGTTTCTCTGAGATGATTTTCACAGGAACCAAAATTCTTCATAGTTTTAGGGCATCAAGAAGCTGAAGATCAGAAGTCAATTCCATATACACTTTCTAGCTTTATGTAACTGATCCAAGAATATCTGGCTCCAGACTCATCAGCAAAATGGTTATGTTATATCCATTTTGCTGTTTCCCTTTCCATGTGGAATCACACCTCCCTTTAAGTATAGTGTAATCATATCTTACTGCTGTACTTAAACCATTAAACCTGGTATGCAAGGGAATCTGAAAAATTCAGTTTTAGTTTTCAGTTTTCTAGATTCTATAATCTATGAACACATGTGTGATGAGGTTAGTTAGCAACTATGAAAGACATAGTATACACCCAGCATACATAGTATACATGAGTATACACCCACCAAATTTAGTTTAGCTTCATACTGATTAACCCAACAGCAAGGTCCCTTCTCAAAATGGATATTCCCTTTATACTTCCAGAGGAAAAGTAATGATCTTCTTAGACTATTTTGCTCCCCCAGATCATAGTTCTCGTATTGTTTGATTCCCTATATTCCACATGGTGGAAGGAGAGAACTGACTCCTGAAAGTTTTCCTCTGACTGCTAAACACATGCTGTTGTGTGTGTA